TGCCCACTGCCGTCTGCGCCGGTGCGGGGTGGGTTGTAGGATGGGTGGGAAGTGTGGCAATTGTAAGAGGTGCGTGTTTAGATTGCCCTTTCCCCTTACCAGGCTTGCTTGGCTATCTCGTTGACACTTGAGGTAGGATAACATGTGACTATAAATCAGACAGAGTTTTGGGATATGTATGGGTTCTCTGGTGGGGAAAGAGGAAAGTGAGAAAATCGTCCTTTTGTTTAAATAAATACAGTATGTCAGACAAGTGGGAGGGTCACGAGAACACTTGATACGTGTGTGAAGTTGCCTCCCCGAATTCAGATGAGCTCACCTGTGTGTTTAAGGTGTAGCCTGTATAACTACAGACCCTCTTTTCAAGACCTTTGTGTCACCTACCGGGAGCTGAATAATTTGTTAGACCATTCTGCATTACTTATTATATGCCGTATTATGAATGAGGCTGATGTGCGTTGCAGCCTTGCCTCACCTGCTGTGAACGTCTACAGATGCCATAAATATAGCAGTGGGTTACTGGAAGAGGAATACTTCTGATAAAAATAGTAGACTGAGATCCAGCTGTCTGGTTTTGCGACAAAGTTCCTGTGGAAGCTGGCAAGGCGTTCAGCCTCTTGATGGTGCAATTTTACATCTTTGAGGGTGTTCCCAGTCTGCAGGAGACGAACAGGGGCTGCGCTCCCCGTGGTCTTTGGGGCACGTCGGTGACGCAGCGCCGAGACCGAGGAGGGGTGAGCGAGGGCTGGCACATCCAGAGTATACGCACAGAGTAAGACAGGTGAACAATAAAGATCAAGAAGAAAGCAAAGGGCTGATTCGGCTCTGTCCACCTATGCGATGAATCATGGAAGGTGTTTGTTGATAAGTAGTACATCATTGTAGCTCTAACCTGTATATCATGTCACACGTAAATACCGTTAAGGTTGCATAGGTTTCACATTTCTCTTTTCATTTTTAGTGTTCACACAGAGCGTGCTTGACAGCTGTCTGCAAAGTATTTTATTTAATAGTAGAATAATGTTTATATAGTGCAAGTATTAAACAAACATTTATTTTTTTGTTTATGATTGAAGAATGTATAAATTGCTGATGCTGAGAAAGTCCCCAAATTCTGTTAAATTCACGTACTACACGTGGATGTGGTGATGGTGTGTGGTGTAAGGAATGCGGGAGAGGCCGTATGCTGGCAAATCTCAGTAGGTCTAGAAACTGATCTCCGATCTGTAATTTTCCTGAAACTGATGACGTGGAGACTTAAAGGTACTCATGTAGAGGTTTGCAAAATTGAACTTTGTTTTTCTGAATACTTTTACTTTGTTGGAGGTCATTGTTCCTCAGACCGGGGCTGTGCCAGCTTACTATGCTTACTATGAAAGGAGGAGCCAGTTAGAATTGTGTAGATAACGACTGCTAACTATGCCATAAAAATCTGAACTGAATTTTGGGGTCTGAACTTTTTTCCCTTTTTTTTTTTTTTTTTTGGAGGGGTGTTACCTGGTCATAGAATTCCCAGTTAACATTAATTTATTGAGAAATGAGTTTTAATGTATCCTTTTGAAAATTCCGAAGAGGAGGAAGAAAAAAAATATGTTTGTATTAAACTTTAGAGTTTGAAATAGAATTTGTGGCAATTTTTCACTGTTCACGTTTATGGGCAAAGTGATTGGGTCTGTGAAATCGTGAAGAAGCTTGGGTAATTTAGCACACGGACTGTTAATAGCACGAAGTCGGGGTGCAAAGTATAAAGGTAAAATTCTCGCATCTGCTGTTACATGTTGTTAACTCCCTTAGCAGACATTAAATCATTTCAAGTACAATAATAGTGTGGGAGGTAAATTAACTAACCATTAACAATCTTATAAATACACAATTAACATGCCAGCATTTATATGACACATTGATGGGGCAGCAGTAATTTTTGATTGGGAGTTTGCAGACCTTTCAGAAGCCTGAGGCGGGTGCTCGGTTAAACAAGTTCTTGCTGCGTGCAGGTAAGCGCGGCCTTTCCTCGTAAGCGATGTGTAAACAGTTAAATTTAATGGACATTCTCAGTCCACTTTTTTAAATACCCATCCATTGCACTTCGTGGTGTCTGTGCTCTGGAAGCGGCACACTGCTGGGCACACCGCTGGGGCTAAAGGCCCGTGACACGTACGTTACGGGGGGAGACGGTTGCCTTATGTAGGATATTTGCCTGGTGGCCTCTCACGTTGAGGACGATGAGGAATCCTTGAGGGAGAGCAGCCCTACTTTCTGTAATGGAAATAGTCAGAAAATAAAAAATAGAGCTTGCAGTGCCGGCGTTGCCCGGGTTAGGAGGGACCTCGGGAGATGTGGTCCAACCTGCCGGCTCCGAGCGGGGCCGGCTAACGCGGGCGGCGCAGGGCCTCAGCCAGCCGGGCTTTGAGTATCTCCAAGGATACTGATGGACCGTATTTCGCTAACAGCGTAATTTATTAAAATGTATGGTAGGAGTAGTGTATTAATAACAAGCAGCATGTCAGTTTTATTTCTCTACCATTCTTTTATTGAATTCCTTCTTGCTGCTGGGTCTGTTGTTCAATGTAATACTTTTGAATTTGTCTATATTTTTTTTAAAGCAGAAAAGACACAGTCTCTCAGAAAAAAATGGCAATATTTGTGACCAAGGGAGCAAAAAGAGCCTAAAATCATGAAGGATGACAATATTTATTGAATGTTCTAAGTAGCAGATGCTGATGTTTGGTGGTAGGGAGGATACTGGTAGGGATGGTCCGATTTACTATACACCTTCAAAATTTTGCTTTTGTCATGATGAGATGAGTGTCCAAGTAAAGTATTGCTTTTGCTTCCAACTTTTTAAATGCAGAAGCTGCTTTGTGGGGCTCTGTATATTAATACACTTTTCCCCTTGGAAGCATACAGGGTCAACAATGAAGTGTGTTTGCTGGTCCTGGAACAAGCCTGTTCGATGCTTGTGTTAACTTCGTCCTGTTAAAATCTGCCAGACGAGGCCAGCTGCCTTTACCAGGTTTTCATGGGATACAGCTTTGTGTGATTTAAAATTGTTTCTTTTCCTTTGGTATTTTCTTCTTGCTGACAGAAGTTTTGCGAACAGCAATGATGGGGTTTTTTTTGTTGTCGTTTCTCAAAATACTAAACAAACACGTTTAATTCGACAGTTGAGGGTTTTTTCTCAGGTATGCAAATTTTTAGAAAAGCAGTGGCGATTTTGAACTTTGGAATTTATGGCTAGTCTTGCCTCTCTCTGTGAGCTTCGACTTAAGACCCCACCAACCTCCTCCATCCCCAGGCGGGTTTTGCCGTCGCTCTGCCGGCCGGGAGCACCGCTGCTGGGAGGGGAACTGGCTCCCCTCCGTTTCTGGATGTTCCTGCTGCCTGTCTCATGTTGGTACTGCTGCTCTTCCAGCTCTTCACGGGCAGACTGGTGGGCCTGAAAATTAGTGATTTTTTTTTTTTCTTTCCAGGTTATTTGCAGCAGATGATTATTTTTTGATCCAGCTCCCCTCGCAGCCACCCCAGGGCTGATGCCAGCCGTCGGGAGGTGGCGGAATGTCAGACAGAGCCAGGCAGGAGCATGGAGTTGTCTCTTTTGGAGGCAGCCCAGGCTTGAATTAGATTAATATAACTATAAATCCACAGCTACCGTAAAATAGGATAACAGTTTGAGTGTGGTTTGGGTTTTGTGGTTTGGGGTTTTTTTTCTTTTATTTTTTCGCCCTCTACTTCGTTTTGTAAGGCCACTTGAGTACTCTGAACGAGATATTTTAGGTAAGTGGCAATTACTGTTGTTAAAGTGGGCCGGGAGCCCCGTTGCTGGGAGGGGACCCGGCTCCCCTCCGTCTCTGGATGTTCCTGCTGCCTGTCTCATGTTGGTACTGCTGCTCTTCCAGCTCTTCACGGGCAGACTGGTGGGCCTGAAAATTAGTGAATTTTTTTTTCTTTCCAGGTTATTTTCAGCAGATGATTATTTTTTGATCCAGCTCCCCTCGCAGCCACCCCAGGGCTGATGCCAGCCGTCGGGAGGTGGCGGAATGTCAGACAGAGCCAGGCAGGAGCATGGAGTTGTCTCTTTTGGAGGCAGCCCAGGCTTGAATTAGATTAATATAACTATAAATCCACAGCTACCGTAAAATAGGATAACAGTTTGAGTGTGGTTTGGGTTTTGTGGTTTGGGGTTTTTTTTCTTTTATTTTTTCGCCCTCTACTTCGTTTTGTAAGGCCACTTGAGTACTCTGAACGAGATATTTTAGGTAAGTGGCAATTACTGTTGTTAAAGTGCTTGAGAATTCAGGCGTGTGGTATATGATCACAGAGCTTTTTCTGTATTACTGCAGTTGCCCTATATGAAGCACCACACAGCAGCAGATGTTCAGTATTCTGCCCTGAGATACTGATCTCAATGTTTAAAGTTTTTCCTGGAAATACAAAACCTGGGGTCTGTAATAAAGTAATCAAAGAGTCGGTATGTAGAGGCAGAAGAAAAACAATAACACACTATTACAATGAGTGAAAAGAAATTCAAAGCCCAGTCTCTTTGTAAATTTTTTAATTTGAGTAGACAGGTTTCTTCTGTGTATGTTCTCTCTGTCCTTCTGTGTGTAGTGTGTGTAGAATATTTTGCCTTATAGCAACCATTTGTTGTAGAGTAATGGGACCAGTCTGGAGGTGTCTGGTTTCTTCTGTTGTCTTGGGATACAGGTTTCAAACTGTCTTCCAAACCCGCTGTTCTTTAAGTGGATCTCAGCAAGCGGCGTAACTTAAGTAAACTGGAGCAGAATTAAAATAATTCACTGTGCAAAACTGAGTCAGTTAAATTTAACCGTCTTGAATCTGGGGTTTTGTGTTTGGTTTGGGGTTTTTTGGTTTTGTTTTGTTGTTGGTTTGTTGTGTTTTTTTTTCCTAAAATGCTCTGCACATTCTATTTCTAGGTACATGTGTCCATGGAAGAAGATGGAGAGAAGATAGTATAGTGTAGTGGTGGACTTGGGGACAGAATGGCTTTCCTGGACAACCCAACAATTATACTTGCTCATATTCGGCAGTCACACGTGACCAGTGATGACACAGGGATGTGTGAAATGGTCCTGATAGATCACGATGTCGACCTGGAGAAGTTTAATCCCTCGTCAGCATATGGGGACAGTGGTTCAGAAACACAGGGAAGCAACGGTGAGACTCAGGGCTATGTATATTCCCAATCAGTCGATATTACCTCAAGCTGGGACTTCGGAATCAGAAGACGATCAAATACAGGTAAGTGGTATTTGCAGCAAAGATAATGTCAGCCTTTTAAATTGAGTTTTTATTAGTCTGGCTTGCATGGACAAACCAGAGCATGGCTAGCTAGGGATCTGTCAAACTTTTCCTTTTGTAACGTCGAGACGCTTTTTATATAAGGACATGTAATGATTCAGTTATGCCAGTGTGCTGTCAACTGAGTTTTAATTGCTGTTTTACTTATTCATGTACAGAGGAACATTGAGGTAGTCAGTTTTATATATAAAAAAAAAATTAAATTGTAAAGACATCAAGTCTAAATCCAAAGTACATGAACAGTCTTTGATATTTCTATTGTTAATGTTTGGAGGGGTGTTAACTTTTGAACAGGATAGTTATTTTCTGAGAAGAATCTACCTAGTGAGGCATCGAATCTATTTGTTATAAAAGAGAGGAATGAAGTTTGATGTGAGCCAACGAAGTGAATGATTTGGCTGTATTTTGTCTTCTTAAGTTTTATTTCTGAGAACAACCTTGAGCTAGGATTTAAGTTACCAAATTAGGCAGTTTTAAAGGTGCACACCACTTCAAAATATGCTTTGTCAAGTTTGTCTTGACTGGGAGAAAGCTGTCCCATTTGTTGTTTCCTGTGAGGGATATTCAAACTTCTATGTATACCCGAGGAGTGCTATGAACAGAAGTTCTGTGATATAAAATATACATGACAATGTTGGTGTGGGATAGCCAATACCAATCTTCTTTTTTTTTTTTTTTTCTGTGTTACAGTATATATTTTTTTCAAACGATTTCTGAAGGTATTATAACACCACCTAGAGCTCAGAAAAAACATCTGTGCTCTACCTAACAAGTAAAATGTTGTGTGGTATTCAATATCTTGAAATACCTTTTGTAAATAAGAAGTTGGGCACTGCTCTCTTGTAATGGAGAGTCAGATTTGGAAATCAGCTGAGTATATAGCTGCAACTGACTTTAAGGCATGGTGAAAAGTTTGTTTGCCAGACTGCCTAGCGTTGTCCTTGAGGTCTTGCTTCGTTCAGTTGATGGTATAGTTTATGAGGAAGGAGAGGCGAAGCTTCAAGTGGTTTAGAATTGCTCCAAAAAATAGTCCTGAGGGATTCTTTCACCAAGTGAGTATTGATAGATACTGATAGAATAATAGAATTGATAGACTGGTAGAATAATCTCCACTTCAGTTATGGATTTCAGTTTCCAAGTGGTGGCATATTCTAAAATAATGGGTAGGACACTCAGTCCATTGGGGAGCCAGTTTTTTGCCTTTCTTCATCTGACATGTCTTTTATATTCCATTGTGTGTGCTGGTACCACCAGGAACCTAATGCAATTATCAGGGCAATTGGGCTATGATTTGAAACAGAGCAGGGTGGAAAAAAGCCTACAAAGAATGCAAGTTGATCAATACTAAACCCTTTTCAAAAATACTGGAAGAGGAATAAATTAAATAGAAAGTTAACTATTTTTAATATAAATACTTTTTGCATAGCACAAATACTTAGATATCTGAGTTCTTGATGGAAGGAAACAGGTACATGCATACATAGAACAAAGGGTTCATACATCTCATAACTACAAAACCTCATTAACTGTGAAATCTGCAACTTTTGCTTCTAAGATGGGCAAATGTAAGGACTTTCTTTTAATTTTTTTTTTTTAGGTATTCCATAACCACTTGAGTAGATTTAGCAGGAGCAGAAACACTTGTTAAAACGGTTTTTAGGTTTGGAAAGAGAAGATAGTATAGTTTTGTATATCAACAGGTCATGGTGGCAGACTTCTCTGACATATAAGCTCGTCTCTAGTCTCCTTGGGTTATGCCCTGCTAAATAGAAATAGTACAACAGAAAGTACCTTACCAGGAGCGTATCTTTTTCACAAATTGTCGAAATAACGCGTTGTTGTAGAATGCTCAACACATCTCTGTAGGACTACAGAAGTGTTGGTTATTGGGTAGTTCTCACGTGGGCATGCAAATTTGGAAATGGATTTTATGTGCATTCTAATATCAAAGCTTTCCCCTTCGCCCTGCGAGGGATGCGCAGTGGGCGAGACGCGTTAGTGTGCTGCACGTCACGGCTGGGGAGAGCACGGGGGCGGTCTCCACTGAATCCTTCCTCCTCTTCTGCAGGAGCTACATGGGTCATAGGTGATCTTTGGCTCTGGGCCGCATCTCCTCGCTGCCCCTTTCCGCCACAGCCAGAGGGGTTAAAAAAACCTAAAGCGGAGAGAGGTCTGTGCAAGGTGTTGGGTCTATGGGAGAGCAGCAAATGCTCCCAACCCTCATGGCTGGAAACAAAGGCTCATCTCGTTGCTGATAGTTAATCAAACAAGAACTACACGTGGTCAGTGACATTTTTCACATAGAAAGCTTTCAAACTAGCATGCTTCTTGTGAGAATGAACCTTAAATAATTCAGACTTCTAATAGGTACTGATAATTCCATCTAATTTGGAGTTGCTATAATACAGTCCCACAGTAAATGATCGTTTGTGATCAACTGTAGACAGAAGAATAGGATGGAGTGAGTGAAGATGGTGAGTGCACGTTAATATGTTTGTTTTGACAAGGGGTGAAAATATCAGATAGGATAAACTCATGCATTACTCTAATTTCTATTCTACATTTTTTCCTGTATCTGTTGTTTACATAAGAATCTAACATATTTTATGATGGCCCATTTGGGGAAAAAAGGATTTTGGAAAGAACTTTTGAGCTACGCTCTGGACAGCAACTGGAGAAAAAAAATGTTTTTCTCTTTCAGAATAAAACATCTGCATTGCCCCTTTTACCCAATATTTAAACTTATAAGCAGGGATACTCCTTTTCTTATTTCATTAAGGGTAAGATACATAGAGGTATTCAGGCACTAACCTCATGTTGACTTAAATGGAAAATAGGCATCACAGTCCCTGTTTGTGTTTGTACCGTAAACCGCTCGTTGCAGCTGTTAAACCGCAAAGTATTATTTTTTCATCAGTTCCCGGGTTAGGAGTTTTTATGGGGGCAAAAACCATTCACTTTTGTGTCCACAATTCAGTTCAAAGACTAAATGTAAAAGAATAATAATAGGAGAGAGAGAAAATATTTATTAACATCTTTTAGTTGGTGAAATGGCTCAGGGAACTCAAGTTGTATCTAAAAATTGTCAGAGTAATTTAGCATTTTAGAATCTCTTCTGCAAACCCATTTTAGTTAATGAATGATCTCAATACATCAAAATTGCTAATATATCCAGCAAATTGTTTCCTTCAGTGATCAACATTATTAGCCCTACTTTCCAGTCTAATCTGCTTTCTTATTTGGAGTGGACGCTTCATAACATCCCTTATTTCTTGTGGTGGTTGCCTTGGGTAGCTCCTGCCAGCTTTAGCTGACCATTTCCTGGGAGAGATCTTGCTGTCAACAAAAAGATAATTTAAGGTATTTTCTGGTACCCTGGTCTGCAAGTTCTTTGATATTATAACTATTTGAGGCTTTTTTTCAAACCGTATTTTGAAGGTGGAGTCAAAATATACGTAAAGAAATATTATATTCATTTTAAGATTTGACTAATGTTGTGAAGATACAAATCATTTATTTTACTACCTATAAACTGTTTCAGCACACTGAAGAAAAAGCTATGCTAATTTATATAGCTTTGACATTTTATAATTTTCATGATTTTTAGATAAAGGATTTTATATTTAAAACTTTAATAGTCTAGTCTGAGTTCATTTATCTTTAATTTTTGAAACGGGTAGAGTAATTCATAACAGTAATTTTATTCCTGTAATGTAATATTCACTTCAGTTCATTTGTGCATTAAAATTCCTTTAAGACCGTTATTAATGATTTATATAATGAAATGTCATATTAATCACAGAAGTTTTCACATTTTATTATTCTCTTCCATGTTAATACTATCTTTATGATCTCTATTAATGTTTTATATCCTCTAATTTCAATTATAAATCAAGAACATTTTCATGTTTTTGTTGGTATTTGCTTTTCAGGGGTGCCACCTTTAAAATTTTATGACTTTTTCCCCTACACATGCAGTATAAAACATCTTTATTCATATAAAGGTAGTTAATTATGTCTTTGTTTATAGTAAACTTTCATTGACAAACTTATAGTTATAATATTTCTTTTCAAGCTCAGAGACTAGAACGTCTGCGGAAAGAGAGACAAAATCAAATAAAATGCAAAAACGTTCAGTGGAAAGACAGAAATACTTCTTACTCAGGTAAAAATAAAAGATCTTCTATTTTCCTACTGTGGTTATTTGTACTTTTGGTGGTTACAACGTTTTCAGTTTGTAATTTTCACTTAAGCTTTCAAAGCGTAGAGGGAATTCTGATTATTGTATTTGCCAGCCATTCCCCAGTTACGTCTTTCCCATGGTTTATTGCTTGGGGTCGGCGTGCCACAGGCGTCTCGTTTGTTCTCAGCTGGGGCGTTCCATGTTGTTAATAAAGGCAAAGTAAAGAAAAAATGTTTAAAACCTCGTTTACCGGTCTGGACTAATTCGAGTGGCTGCTTTGGTTTTTGCAGTATAAGGTATTGCTGCAGCGTGCGTGCATTCTGCCGTCCTGTAGCTTCATTATCTTCTCCGGCTTCTATTGTCTGAGCGCGGGAGCGGCAGAGGCAGCGGAGCTCTGGGTGTTGCCGTGGGGTGCGTGAGGAGCAGGCCGTGGGGTGCGTGAGGAGCAGGCCGCGGGGTGCGTGAGGAGCAGGCCGGGCCTCTGCTCTGGGCAGGCGATGGGCAAGTGTCTGCCTTCAGAATGCAGGATCTTTATGGCCCTGCAGGTTAAGGCTTTCTGGCTGGTTCCAGTGTCATTTGGTGTACTGGATGGGACGAATAATTTTGTAGAGGTTACTTTTATAGAATACCTTTGTGGCTACTTTTCTAGATAAGGGGAAAAAATTCTTGAGAAATAATGTGTATATATGATCTACGTAAATGAAAGCATAACGAATGCTGCCCTAGCTTTTCCGTGGAAAAACTAGCATCACCGATTTCTCAAAAAATGTGCTATTCTTGTTTTTAATTATTATGTAATTAAGTATTTCTGACTGGATGGTCTACATAGTTTAAATTGTAATGTACGAAATGAAAAATCTGTCTCAATTCTCTTTATTTCATAGCTCAAGCTAGCATCCATTCCTGTTGCATTTGACACACATTCAAATGTATGCTCTGTCATGCTTCCTTCTTTCAAAATTACTGTATATCTTAATGAGGTCCCCGTGTAATCTTTTTTATCCAAAATCCTTGTATCTTCCTGGCTGTCATCTGCAGAACCTTCTCCAGCTCTATAATATCTTTTTTTTAGAGGAGTGAACAAAGCTGCTCACATGAGCAACACAGTTGCACTAATCCTTCGCACAGTGTTCAGCTATGTTTGATACCTCTGTTAATGCATTCTAAGATGCTTTTGCCTTTCTACTTCTGTAAGCAGAGTTGTAGGTTTTAAAGTTTAATCTACCGTAACCTCCAACCCTCATTGCTCAATATTTTATAGCATTTGACCAATGATGATGCAATTCCCTTTTTCTTCTTTATCCCTAACTGTATACCGCCAGGTATTTCTTTACACTGCGTTGCGCTCAGAATCCAGTTTCCTGCTGTGTCTGTGCTGTTTGTGTCGTCTTATTCATGTGGGCTCCACCATGACATTTAGTTCCTTTTATGTGCTGCCCTGAAGACAGACCAGCAGCGACGGAGGTGTTCCCCTCTGCAAGAGTGTGCTGGGGCTGCAGGCAAATAGATTATCTGCTGCAGAACAAATTTAAATAAAAAAATAAATTCCATTAAAACTCCAGGCACTCGGTATCTCCCTTTATTGGCAGAGCTGGTTTCCTCCTCTCCTTAGTCGCTGAGATGCTGCACGTTTCTCACTTACTGACATGAAGAACAACACAGCAGGAAGAGGCCAGGAAAAAGAGGAGCCCTGAGGGGTATCCGCTGTATCTTCCTCATCGTCAGGATAGTGTGTGTATGAGACTTTGTCTGTTCTATTCCGTGAGTGTGGCATTAGTGGAAAATGCGTATGAAGGCAGTAACAGCAGTGATAGCTGTTCTCAGATGGGGGAATTTGGCTGCCCTCTTCTGACTGTTTATCTGAGCTCTAGACAAAGTCGAGCCCCCGGTTGACACCACGTGCAATGGGAAAGGATGTGGGAAAGTTGCTGTTTTGCCGGTGTTAGAGTCTGATGGCACCACCTCCCGAGACCCCTTGTCGCAGAGAGGCCTTGCTGTAGAGAGAAACTCTTACAAGCGTTGCAGCTGTCCTCCACGTGGATATGTAGTCGTAATTTGCGCCATTTAGCAATTGAGTATTTTTTGTGATTCCCAATTTTTAATTACTCTGTGCAGAAACAAAAGTACTCTAACCATGATAAAGGGAAGTGACAGACAAGTAATTATGTGTATGGTAATGAGAAGAAAAAAAAAAAAGAATATTTTTTACTAGTCATCCATTTGCCTGCTGCCATGAGCCAAGCGGTTTGCTTTGTCGGGAATGAGTTTGAAAGATAAGGTGGTGGTAGTGTATGGACTTGAAAAAGAAAATCTCCATGCATTTGGAGTTGGTTAGTGGATTAACGAACACAAAGATGCTCCAAGGGTAGTTGGCTGCCTGGAAATAAAGTGTAACATGTTGGATTTTTGTTCTGCTGTGCCACCAGTTCACATCGGTGCATCTGGTTGTTTTTTTTTTTTTTTTTTCAGTAAAATGCAAAGAACGTTTCAGCTTTATGCATCGTAGAGATCAAATTATGTTAGTTAAAGTCTGTGGGTCCTATAAACCAAATATGGATATACATACAAAAGGTTACACCTTTTCATAAAATACTAGGTAGTTTTAGATAAAAGCAAGAAATAAGGCATTGTATTTACATCTTATGTTCATTCATGTCACAGCATATAAAATGTAAATTAACAATATATCAAGGGAATCTTTCAAAAGATTCAGCCCATATAGAACAGCTTGTATAGTTAAAAAAATCACGAGAGCTGAAAACTACATATACTATAGACTAACAGCAAAACTTGGTTTTAATTAAGAATTAAAAAATATGCAATTAAAGCTAGTTTAATGTAAAAATATGAGCTGTTTTTTTCCCTGAAATAAATTTGAGAATTTAATTTATTTTTTAAAAATATTTTTCATTGGAACTCTCACAGCCCAAGGAATTATTTGACAAAATGCTGAATGGAAGATGGTAGTTTTTCAGAGATCTCATCTTTCTTCTAGCTTTTGCAGAAATCTTTCAAAGTTTTTGGGCTCTTCTTCCTAAACAAGTTGAATTTTTTGAAATGATGAAGTTTTCTGGGAAAGGAAAACTGTATCTCAGCCAGCTGAATTTACAGTCTTTTAGAATGTACCGTTATTTAAACTCTTCAGTCATGTGAGATTTTTGACTTGAGTAAAAGCTATGAGAAACTCAAAGCAAAACAGATGTCGCACTAATGAACGCAGAGAATTCTTGAGATCCTCTTTTTGCACATCCCAACAAAGGAAACAATAAACAAATCGTCTTAACATTTCCCTAGAGACACTACTTGGAGATAAAAGACTTGCTTTTTCACTTGAACCAGTAAAATCATTATACTGGATTCCAAAGTACAGAGGTGTGGTGGGTTTTTTTTTTCCCAAATGCCCAGGAAATACCAGTTAAGGGTAATATTCTAGCATAATTGTAATTGAGGTTATTTAAAAAAAAAAAAAAACAGAGATAAGATTGTTACAAAAAACAGAATTCCTAATGGAGTTTAAGTTGCCACATTTAAAAAGGATTTAATCAAGCTTTTTTGGTTAATCGCAGCCTCTCACAAGACTGTTGGGTATCTCTTAGTGCCAGTATTTAGCACTTTTGCCAACTGTCTGCATTTTCAGGCAATCTGCTGATAAAAATAAACTGAGCTTTTGACTAGTTATAATTTGTCAAGTTTTAATTTCATGTTTTAAGAAATTAACCAGCTCCCTGCGGATCAAGTCCCAAGTCATTCTGCCTTAGGAGCAGGTTCATCTCCCTGGAGGAGCAACACATAAATCTTTGAGATGTGAGAGAATCCAAACGTGGGAGCACAGAGCAGAGTTGGTCCGGGAGAGCTGGTGTTGGTTCTCAGGTAGTGATTGATGGAGTTTGGGGGTACTTGGTTCCTAGAGCAGATGTGGAAAAAACTTGTCCAGATTCAGTCACAGTTTCTTGCAGATGAGACCAATTGGTACTAATATGCTAAAACACCCCAGGCTCTGTCCTGATTTTGTCGTGTCCTTATAAGAAGCCCTAATTTTTAAGGTTTTTTAAGTATGCCTGTAAATTTTGAGTTAAACCATTGCTGGAAATTCAGCTCTTCATCTAAAAAGAGCTTGCTTGTCTGAAGCTTTTACGAAGCCTTCACAGACCACACAAAAAACTCATTAACTCTGGTCACCTTTGTTTTTAGAAAGCTTTTTTTTTTATTGTCCAGACTGTTTATCTGGAATGGTGTTTTCTAGTTTACCTTTTTTTTTTTTTTGAGGGCAGACCGTATCCAGTCTACCATGAGAAATAAAATCCAAAGAAATGATTTTTTTTGGATCAGATGTAGTCCCAAGCCTACTGCTGGCAGCATAGTGACATTGTAATATTGTAATGGGGTAGTGTAATATTGTTCTGTAATATAGCATAATATCGCGTGTTACAAGCTCAGCTTGAAATGCTTGTGCATGTCGTATTGTAGATGTGTCAACAGTTCTTTTGCAGAGGATTTACTGTTCATTTAGAAAAAGGTAGGCAAGCAGAAAGACCAGGAATGGGTAATTCTCTCTTTGAATCTTGATTTTTATCTTGACTCAAGTGGATCTTTTAGTGATCAGTTCCATTCTCTGTATCGGAAAAATTCATCTTTTATTCACCCTAAGCAGTAGCATCATTCAAACTTATTATATTTTCATATCTTTGGGCTATGAAAGAGTGGTGGTATGTTCTGCCCTGCTAAAGCATTTGTTGTTCTATGTATTTGATCTTGTTCTCCCTCTTACATTGTTATCTTTCTGTGGTAAAGAGTAGTCTCTGGACATCCTCTAGTACAACTACTGTCCTCTCTTTTCTGATCTACAGCAGAGGAGCTGAGCTCACTATTTGAAAAAAAGAATTTCAGAGTAAAATCTCCGTCTTCTGGGAAGCAGTCAATACTGTCTGTGCGACTTGAACAGTGTCCGCTGCAGCTGAATAACCCCTTCAATGAGTACTCAAAATTTGACGGCAAGGTAAGTGGACCAGATGTTTTTCTCTCATATCCAGGTGGTCCCTGACCTGAAGCTGATAGGCTGTTCTCGCGTCCATTTACTTGTTCAGGCTTTAATTGGACTTCACAGTAGGCCATCAGTTACTTTAAAGTGGTTATCTAGAAACATGCTTTGCTCAGTCCTGAATACGGGTTCCAGGTTCAGTAGAACCGTTTCTCCCGTTGTCATTCCAAAATTCTGCCTTACCATTAGGCTTACCTTACCTTGCTCTCTTCTTCTCCAGCAGGTTGCTTAGGTAAACATTTAGTGTGGCAGAGTCCTAGGACATCTGTCTGCACAGTTGATGGTGAGACCCTTTGTAGACATGATTGCTTATTTGGCATTTAAAAAAAAAACCCAACCTGTTCTGTCTAGCCACATCGCAGCATTTGCTGAATCGTCCATGATTTATACTGTCTTTATCCTCAAAATGCTCCCATGAGAGTGGGAAAAGCCACTATCTGTTTTGGGGGTGGGAAACTGAAGCATCAACGGGTCAATATCTGGGGCAAAAAGAGGACTAAACGAGGTAGTGCTGGGCAAGTACTCATTTATGTAATCCATGGAGGACGTTCACTACAAACCTGGTAGGTCAAATTCATTCCTGACTGCGTTAATTTTAAGAGCTTGCATTTGATATTACTCAGAATTGTGGATAACTCTTTCCTTGTATGCAGTGTAGTTACTCTGTATTGTCAGGTACTTTTCTCTGTCATAAACCCTGGAAACTGAATATAAACATTGGCGTGATGGATCAGTGTCATATTGTTCCAAAACAATTATAAATACTGCACGGATCTGTTTTCTGCTGGATTTGTTTGTGGAGTCTCCTGTGGGAGTATGAAGTTTGAGCTTCATTACCGTTGTGATGGAAGAATTTCATATTCTGTTAAGTGTTCTTAAAGTGGAAAGTCAGATACGTAATTCCATGAGCATATCTAGAAGTATTTAGAATAGTTGTGAAATGGTAACTTTTAAACTCTGAAGTCCATGTAGCAAAAGCTGCCTCTACTGTTATTTTATACTTACTAGTGTGTAGTAATTAGTGCTAACTCAGTTTTTCAGAATTTCTGGCCTCAGTAATAAATGATAGCAGTGCTTTCACCAAGATGCCTTTTTCCTAAACTCAAAGCTTGCTGTTCTTATGTCGTGACGTTTCAGTTTAGCAAACATTTAAATGTAGTTCCAACAGTCATGCACAGAGGAAGTAAAAATAAAATAAATACTTCTTTATTAAAAGAAATTTATTGTAGTTCAGTGGTGTCCCAGTCTCATGATTTGGGCTACCTGCTAGAATTTTTCCTCAGGAACTTGGGGAACTTAATCATGTTCCCTTCCCGCTTTCATAATCCAAACTACTTCTTACTGTATTAATAGGAATTATAGTTGACTGTAATGAGCATCTTAATTTTCTATTTAAAAGTCTGATATATTTAGCAGGTGTTTGGTCCATTTGAAGGAAACTGTTCTTTTCATAATAGTTTGAGAGAGTAATGAACTACCTCGATGTGGCTCAATTGTGATTTGTAGAGTATGACATGAATCAACTTGGTTGTGATCTAGAAATCAAAATACCTTTTTAACTCCCAAAAATAACTCGATTGGCATTTTGTTAGAATATAATCTCACTATATTAATTTTAACAGCATTGTTTACATTACTCTGGTAAGTTTGTCAATAGTATGCTTACGAAATTTATTTTCTATAATTCTGTATGTGTTGTCCATTTTTTAAATACCTACTTTGACCATCTGAGATATAGAAGAAGCATTATAGTGCAGGAGTTACTTATTTTATTTACTTCAGTTTTGTTGTATTTTCAGACAGTAATGTAAATCGAAAACCATCCAGCTTTTTAAAATTCTTTTTAATGAAATATCATAGGTCTCGTATTTATTTTTATTGATAATAGATGAGCAGTATTTTTCACATAAATACAATTCTTTCGGGGAATAGTGCATGACTTATTTACATAATTAACAGAGCCGCATATCTCTTGGGGAAATAGTACATAATTGGGGAGAGGCAGGGGGGATGAGGAGGGGCTGGGGGCCTAATTAAACATGTCTTAAAAAAACCCTACTTAATTATGTATTTACTCAAGGGATCGCAGTGGCTCTGAAATCTTTAAGATTATAACTAGGCCTTTGGTTTGTGTCTATATATATATATTTGAGTTTTGTACCACAGATTTTCACCTTGTTGAATAACAGGCGCGTGGTGGTTCGCTGGCGAAGCGTGAGGAGAGCTTCGACTCGCTGCGTGGAAGCTCTTTGTTCGTGAGTGTACTCACCCGAACTGCTTCCCCGATGGTTGCAGCTTGCCACTGGGTCAGCTCCCTAACTGGCCTGAAATCACATAAACCCGTTCTCTTGGGGGTCCTTCCCGCCCCCTCCCTCCCTTCTTGTATTGTTTTAAACTAATCAGTTAAGAATAAGAAAACATTGCATGCTTACATCTTGCAGGTGTTTTCTGCCAGATTTAGTGGCTTTTTCATAACCACTTCTGCAATTTTATGAAACAATAAAATTTTAAAGCACTCTTAATTTCTTCTTGTTCTGATCAGTTCATTAATTATCAAAATAGTAGAGAATATGTCTTGTGAAACGCGACTACAATGGGAGCATTCTAATCAGCTCGAGAAGTCGGGTGATTCTGGCCGCACACCTTCACAGGACAGACCTGTGGATTTCGCGTACCTTGTAAAAGTTCGGCTCTTAACAAAGGACACGCACGCAGTAACTGCTCTGGGCTGTATCTTCAAGTTTTTCCTCAATATAGTTCAAGTAAACCGAACCTCTGCGTCTGTCAGCGTGGTTTGTAAATCACGGGGGTAGTACATGTTGGTTAATAAATCCTGAGAAGTCTTGCTAAGGGTATTGTATGAAAAGAAGCCCTTAGTTATTTATAATTACTTCAGTTGTCATTTGTACAGAAAATTACATGAAAGCTTAAGAAATCAGTGGCAAACTGATTTCCTTTATCTGCATGCAAATGAAATCATCATCCATTTTATAGATAAATTCAGGTATATTTCTGTTTACAGAATTTAGAAAATCAAATTCTGATGGCTTATTGTTCCAACCTGCTGACTGTTGGTACAGTTGGGAAAATAAACCTGACCGTCAGACGGACTGGAAAGGCACCGGCGGGTACCGCACATGAAACGCGGGAGCGCTGGAGTGGCTCCTTTCAGCACCGCAGCTGGGAGGTTCACAGCATCCAGTTTACCTGCCTGCTTTCATTAATTGCTTTAAAAGCGCGCGTTCTCTTTTCATTCTGTAGAAATTCAGAATATTTCTTTTCAAATCACAAGTGTAACTTGCATGAGTTGCGGGAAAGCATGGCAATAAGTTTCCTCTGAGATACTAACCTTAAAGAATACTGATTTAGAACAGTATTAGTGTCAGAGCTATTCAGCAGCGTGACCATCCCCGCTAGTAAAAAAAAAATTGTTACTGAGATGTATTTAGTTACTGGAATAGAGGAGAATCATGCCAGAATCAAACGTTCAGCTTTGTAGGAACTGCATACTGAACACGTAACTCCTGAGGCCTCTGTTTACGTTCCCCGTGAAATCCGCTCTGAGGCCAGCCCACAGCCGGTTTTCTTCCAAGTCTCTGCTACCTTTAAGAAATGTTAATCACTAAAATATCTTGTCAGTTCAATCTTGACACACCTGCCACCAAACGGCCGCTCCTACATCCCCAGAAGAATGTTCGCAAACACAGAAGTGTTACAGGACAGTCAAACAAGAGATGCTAAAGACATGCAAAATACTCAGAGAAGAAGGTTGGAAAACCACAATCAAACTGTAAGGAAGGGATCGTTCGGCTCTGGAATGTGCTTGAGTTACAAGGCCAGAACCCGTTCCCGCATGCAGACTAGAGGTTTCTCAAGGTATTTTTATTTCTATTTTCATGACTACTAGTTGAAAATGAAGACCTAAGGCAGTCTGGCTTTTCTGACCCCATAGCGGGTTTGTGGGCTTACTTGACTACTGGAGATAATTTAAATAAAAACAAGTCAAGGGGATTTTTAGCTGGACAGATGCTAACGATGCTGTTGTGAGGAGTGGTACCTCAGTATAGTGTTACAAGGTTTCTTGTGGCTAATTTTGGTAAATGGTTAAAAACCAACAATTTCTCTTGTAGCAACTGTTTTTAAAATGATGCTGTAGAAAGCATGGGGGAAGGGATAATTCATGAGTGCTAATTGCTTGGCTGTTAATTTTCATAAGTGTTGATAGAAGCAGTTCCTTAAATTAAACTTTGTTTAAAATGTATCAGGGGAAATATTCCACAATGTCGGGCCTGAAGTGAAAATTAATATGAATGCTGTGGCAATTAACACGTACTGGTTAATAGCTTTTAGCAGCATTTTGGGATGATAGTCCTTAAATACATTTTTGCATGCTGCTCTTGTTTCAGTCTTGTTTGCCCGTACGTCTGGATAATCATGAACAAATGTTTTCCACAGTCTCCAGTATTAAATAGCTTTACTCAAAGAAAGTAGATAAAGAACTTAAGAAAGAAGCAATGCTGCTGTAATTAATATGGAAAATGTCTAAAATAATTAATCCAGGATTAAAATCTCAGTATTGAGGGGGGGAAAAAAAAGCATTTTTTTCTTTAAATGTTTTGCCTCTAAGCTGAGCAGAATGATCCTCATCTGAATCCTGAATAAGTTTGCATAGTTGATTTGGGGGGTTTTTTTTAAGCATTTGCTTATTCTGACAGTTTTAGTGGTTTACATACCACCTGCACTCTACTGGAAGAGTTGAAATAAAGATTTTCATCGTGGTGTCATTTATGTTATATAGCACATAAGTTAACATAAAGTTTGTGGAACGGCCGCTCAGTGTTGTGCGGGGAAGCCTCCTGCTGTCGCGGTACGGACAGCCACGGCACCGGCCAAGCGGCGCTGCGCTGGGGCAGAGCCAGCGGCGCTGAGCCCTCCTGCGGCCTCGGCAGCGCGGCAGT